AGAGTCTCATTTGCTGTTTCTTAACTGTCTTTCTTGAAAAGTCTAGTCTACACATTGCAACAAATATTCTGCCTCTTATTTTAGCCTCTTACTTTAATGAAAAAGCTATCATAAAAACGATGTGAAATAGGTTTATTTGGGACTTGGCTTTGGTGTTTTGTCGGGTGTGATGATAGCCTTTCATTGAGCAGTACAGGTTAAAATTAAAATTCCCTTTTTAATTTTAATTCTTGCCACACAGAAAAAAGTTTCTCCCCTTCCCCCCAAAATACCCAGGGAAAACATCTGACAGAGGCGGCTTGCTCAGCATGTTTGAAATGAAAGCTGTGTGTGGCCCTTCCTCCTCACACTATAAGGCAGCAGCTAATAAACCAATGAAAGGAGATACAATTGGAAAGACCAAGTTTTCCAGATCCACTCTCTATGCTTTTCTAGTTCCTTAATGGGCCATGTCAACCACGCAAAAGCAGCTTTGTGATTTTTACAGACCTCTATTTTGATGGGTTTTTGATAGAGCCCTGGAAAACACAAGGGGAGATGGTTCAGCAGAATCCTTTGCCAAAGAGGTGGCATGAGGCAAAGGAAAGACAGGTTCTCCTTTTGGGGTTTGCTGGATATTGAAGGAGGGTTCAGACTCAAAGCCAACCAGTAATCTTTATTCTTAAATTAGATTATTTCAGTTGCCACTAATGCACCGTTTGGTTCTTGACTCCCAAAGAATCCCACTGGGTGGGCGGGTAAAGGCCTTTACATCTTCAAATTCTAGAGAGGAGCAAAGCTCATCCCACTGAGATGAAAAGGAATCTGGAAGGATGGAGGCCAAATGATTTTCCTTTTTTCCCCACAACTCCCCAACCTGTGTAAGGCATTTTACTGTCAATTGTATCCTTGAGTTGCCAGCTCTCAACCTTCATTGTTGCAGCTTCTGAACCTGCAAAGTACTGAGTTCAGCTGGATTTTAACATAGTTGTTCTCCTCAAGTACTTTGCTTTCCAGTTCCCCCTCATATAGAGGAAACTGAACTCTTATAAAACTGAGACATATAATTTTTAGATAAGATTTTCTAAGATTACAGCTATATCTTTCCCATATTATCATTTTCTTCTATATTTCTTTGTTCACCCCTCCCCCAAAGTTGGCCTCTTTTTCTCTCCCTTTCTATTCACTAGTTCCCATAGCAACCAAAACTATCACAGCCTGCTTCTTATCCTAGGTTAACTTGATTGGCCAATACTTCTTTACTTATACATAGTAGAAGTGAAAAGTAACTTTTATGTAGTAAACATTTTTTTTGTATGCAGACCATTCAGAAATATCATTATAGTACACACCTCTGATTTGTATACATCTGTTTCTGCTGCTTATTATTATTTATCTAGAAGACACAATAAAGCTGTATAGAATTACTTTCCTATTCTATCATAATGAGAAAATTTAGTAGGGTCAGATTGTTGCAGACCAATATAAAAAACTGCAAAGATCAATTTAGGTGGATCCACAGATGACTTAATTCCATACCTAAAAATTGTTCATTGGGTTGGAAAGTAGGCATTGGCAAAAGCCTACCTTAACACCAGTCGTCTGGTTTATAAGTAGCAAATTTAAAAATAATTCATACTGGACTAGGCATAAAGAAAAACAGGGACTATAATAAGAACACTACTAATTAAAATGTACATCTGTCACCACTGTGGCACAAGAATATATCTAGGAGATGGATTTTCATAGATCATTTTTTTAAAGAAGTACTTTTAGATTTACTATCTGAATTCAACATCTACCAATGTTAAAAAATGTACAATAGAGGTAGATGCTTGATAGAACCAATATGATCCAATCAACCTTATTTTGAATCAGAGATCTTCCTACAGCTGTTTACATGTAGGTCAGAAATAGCATACTTTATGGTATCAGAGTAATTGTGCAAAATTAGAGATTAGGTCACTGTGATATAAATCCAGCTCTCAAAAGAGGCTGTTCAGGATGTTAAAAACTGGTTAAGATACATATCATAAATCAGGAATAAGAATGGATATGCATATGGCACCAACATGTAATATACAAATCACAAATTACCTTTGTGCCATAGACTAAATACCAATATTGCAATATAGTTCTTTGTGGGATGACTGTCATGAAAATGTTATTCTAAAACAACAGTAACCTAAAGACTGTTAAATTACAGTTCATGTCTATGCCTATGTTGCATCATAATGCAGCTGCTTATGAAAGAAGCTGTATGATAGTTATTACATTTACAAATACCCAAAATACACACACACACACACACACACACATATAATGTATGTATGCTCTGATGTTAATGACACAAAATATAATAGTCATAATGAAATCTCATGTATGCATCATCTTATTGCAGATCTCTCATATGTACGTATTATGCAGCTACTACACTAGTGTTATCTCTGATTCAGTTAAATAGTGAATATTGTATAATAGTACTGAGTAAATCCAATCAAAGGATCAAAAACTACTATGATTCATTGTTTTAATTTTGATTCTGTAATATGTATTCAAACATGGCTATTCCTTTAAAGTGATATTCAAGAAATTAATTTAGCATCTATTCATGTAGGATTGCATGACACTGCAGGACACCATATTGCAATGTCTTAAAATCAATCCATTGTTTTTGTGTTGCTATTAACAGCAGAGACTGTCAAATGGTTTTAATCACTTATGTGTTCCATTGTCAGGTTTCTGTACCGTGACACTGTTGCAAATTGTGAAGCCTGAACAAGAGATATGGTGGTGAACTGTGTGCGAGTATTGAGGGGGGAGGAGTCCTGTTAAGAAAAAACACTCCATGCTTTGGAATGTGCAGTGATCCCAGATATATACAAAGCAAAGTTAATCCATTAGAAATGCTCCAAAATATAGTCAGCCTCTATCTTTATTAGGACAAATCAAAACAAAGCAAATTTGCAAATTATAACGTCTTTCAAGTTTTGAATAACTCTTCATTGAGCTACTAAGCAAAATAGATTTGGATTTTATGTTGGAATAGTGGATGCAGGTTGGAATTAGCTGTTTTTACTTCACTGTCATATCACAAACTATGGATCCTTTGTTTGCAATTCAGGGCATCATTTGGAAAATAAATTGACCATATATAGATCATATGTAATAATCATTAAGATTCAGTTTAACTTCATAAAGGATCACAAAGCATCACATTTACACTATACTGACCAGACAAGGATGTGAGGTATAATTTGATGGATTATTAGAAACCCAATAAATGCCCCATTTAATTACTGTAACATTTTCTTCTGAAAATGAAAATGCATTTATGTTACCACATTTTAAGGTTAATTTAATTTTAAGGTTCTTTTGAACAAGCCTTCTAACGTGCTACCTGATTCATGGAATTTTACAAGGAAAGGGGCAAAAAAATAACACAACCTTCGTTTCCCATCACTTTTGTCTTTAAAACAAAACAAAAAATATTCTATTGACAAAAAAATAAATAAAAACATAATACTGTTTGACACTAGTGTTGGGAGGCGTTTGTCTGGCAGCACTATAAAATTCTGGGAACACTATAAAAATTAAGCTACAAATAAGATACTGTAAAGAAACTAACCAACCAACCTTCTACAAAGGTTTTTTTTTCTTTTTGTATGATGGTGAACCCTCCCTATTACAAAAAGGAATATGTATTAATTGAAATTGATATGGGCTGTTTAAAGACTCCACTCTTCACTCACTGATCGCAGCCTGCCTGATTCAGACTAACCCATCTACAATAAGTCTTGCTCAAGCCAGACAAAATGTCGCATTTAGTCCCCTACAGATGCGAACTATATTAAAAGTAGATGTCATATTAAAACAATTGGGTTTTCTTAATGCCTTTAACAAGGTAAAACCATTTCTCTCCCCCCCCCTTATTAAAACCCAAATATTCCCAGAAGAGAATGCAGCGCGTGAAGCACAATGCCTTCTAGCTAGACGAGAAACCCAAGCTTAACAGATTGATCACCTGCCAGGTCGCTCAAAGACCTTGCAAGACGGCGCTGGTTGTTATTATATTCGTGTGCTTACACCTGTGAACCTGTCAGGTAGCAACCCTGGTACCAAGAAGCCGTCGTCGAGCAGCAGATATTCGGCAGACTCCTACCCTCCCCGGGCCCGAATGAGCCACGCTCCCGCATACACAAGGCTCTCTACACACGTTTCAAGCAAAGTCTGCGCTGCTTGGAAGGTCTTGAGGCGAAATATCCCCTGGCAAAGCCCTCCGCGAAGCTCCAGAGAGGCGGGCAAGCGGAGCACTAACAAAATGGGCCACTACGACTTTAAGAGTCCCTTTGTCTCGGAAACATCCTTATTTACCCTCCTGCGATTCAACCAAACTTAACCCCATTTCCTCCCCCCCTCCCCGATTCACAAGTCGGGGGATGTCCCAGTTCCTGGGCGGAGCTATATGTACACCCCGGCTCCGCTTTTGAGAAACGGCTCTCGTCCAAAGCTTCGAGTTTGGAGAACGGAGCTAGGATTTCCCAGATTCCGCCCATGCCACCAGTCAGCCATTTCGTTCCATAGAAAAGGAGCCCGAGTTCCTTGGAGCGAAGCAGTTAGAATCTTTTTGATTCTTGAAAAGAACGCGCATCGCCCGACGCGTCACTCGCATAAAACCAGGGGCCGCTTCCCGCTTTTTCTTGTTACGTATATGACGTTAAGAAGAAAAAAAAAAATCGTCCCAGAAAACTCTCGACGGCTTTCGGGCGCAGACGGCGTAAACAAGATAGCTGAATAGTGAAAGCGTCACATGCCGGGGGTGGGACGGAAATAATGTGTGGCGGGCGCGTTATCCAATGACAATCAGGGGCGGAGTGAAGTTGGCAGCCAATGGCGGGCGAGGGGGGCGTGTCGTGTACCGGTTGGGGTGTCTCGCGCTTGGTGACAGCTCGCGCGTGCTGATGATGGCGGTAAATAAAGGGGCCGGAGGGGGGGCGGGGGCTTTACCCCCTTGGGGTTTAGACCTTAAATAGGGGGAAGTAGGAGAGCCCTTCCTGAGGTAGAAAAGGCTCTTTTATGCGTGGTTATAGCCGGTTGGGGAGACTACCCCCCAATTGTAGTGGAAGGTTTGAGGGGGCTCCACCCCTTTGAAGCTCAGATTCCACATTGGGGACGTGAAGGCTGTGCTCGTTTAAGCCCCACCTTCTGATTTGGAGGGAATGTCGCTCACGCGTTTGGGCAGGCCGGCAGAGGGGAAGAGGTCTTGACCCCCTAAAGAGTAGGGGGTGGGTGGGGAAGAACCTTTTCTTCTCTCAGCCCCTACTTAAAGGGGACAAGGAAGGTTGTGCTCACCGAGAAGGGGAAAGCTCTGGCCCCTCTTAGAGGGAGCGGGGAAGAAGATAGGAGCCAACTCTCCCAAATGAAAAGGTGAATAGTTGTGACAGGATTTGCCCGATCAAAGATATTGGCCAACAACTGACTTTTGAAGGTCTGAGACAGACTTTTTACTCTGCTTTGGTAAACAGGCTGTGCTACAGTGAGAGCTAGGAGTGTATTGAATCCATAGGCTTCTGTGAGATAGCTTGAGGATAGGGGCAGAAAAAAAAAGAGGGGGGGAGAAGTAAACTAGTAGACATTAAACTTGCAGGATGCTGGAAGAAAGCCACTTTAAAGAGATTAAGAACTGCATTAAGAACCTGGTAGGTATAGCATAGTTGCTGAAAGCTAAAACAGTTGTGTGCATGTTCATAGTTGTTGCCATTTGTGGCTGGAGAGCAGCAAAAGAGTTGGAAGAAATAACTGGTAGGCAAAGTAGCAATGGTTTTAAGTAGTATATTGTTGGAAGAGATGGTATAACTAGTGATGGAATGGTGATAGGCAACAGGAAGACCTCATGCTGTTGTTGCTTAGTTGTGTGTACTTCTTTGTTTGCAAGTTAGAATCTTACATGGTCAATTTCAAGTAAGATGTTTGTAACTTCTTTTTTTTACAACATTACAGCTTAAGCACCTTAAAGTTACTTTTAGAATGTATTTTGTAATTTGAAGTTTCATTCTTATTAGCATGTTGATATAAATAGCAAGATTTGGGGAGATCAGGTGATAGACGTTATATGTCCCTAGCACTGATTCAGTTGGGAATTCTTGGCCTTTAAACATGGATTGAGCTTTTGTAACAATTCATTTTCAAATGCTGTTTGTTATATAGCTACTATGCTGTTGAAATTATTACTGTATTGTTAATACTGCATTTTCATCTAAACATACATTCTGATGTAATTATGTTGATACAATGGTTCTTTAATATCTATGCTATTTTTTATCATTGAAACATTTAAATATACAAGAAAAATGAAGCATTGTTTTAAAAAATTAGCTACTTGCATTGATAGATGGGCATGATCTTATAATGGTAAACTGCAACATAAGCAGAATCTCTAGCCACCTGCATATAAATACTGTTCTCTCTGTTAAAAAGTTTTAGAGTTCTTATAGTTTAAAAATGTATTGGCTCACTGATCTTTCAAAAGGAAGCAAAGTTTTTTGCTTATTTCATTTAATTTTTTTTTCTTTCCCACCCACATTTTAATAGAAAATGAGGTGGAGCCAAGTCTTCACTCTTAACTAATATGTTTTGTCAAAATATAGTATATAAAAAATAATAGCGAAGGTGTGTAAAATCAAGCATCTCTGGTTCTTTTATGTTTTCTCCTAAGTCTTTTGTGAAATCTGGTTCCCTTTTTTGGTCACAACCATTTTAGGGTAGAAAAACATGATTTCTACTCTTTCTCACTTCCCAAAATTAAATTTCATGTTAAATACTATTTAATGTTCATTTGTTTATGAACTATTGTTTTAAATTTAAATTAGAAAAATGAGAATGCAATAGTGGCAAATATCTGTAGCTTGGATGTAGGATGAGGGTTGAAGGTTCGTTCTCTGAGCTTGTGGGTTGGTTTTTGAACATTTTATTACCAGGCTAGGTAACATTTTCAGTGGAGTTAAGGGGATGTCAGTGTTAGTGTTTATAAACAGAAGAACACTGACACTGACATCCTTAAACTCCGCTGAAGATGTTACTTAGCCTGGTAATAAAACGTTCAGAAACCAACCCACTAGCTCAGAGAACGAACCTTCACCCTCAAAAGTGAGAATGTCATACTTCTCCACTTATGGATGATATATAGATTGAATGCTTAAAGTGCAGAATGTGGAAACACTATATTTCTAATAATACAATGTGCATTTTTAAATGTTAACTATTCATATTGATTTACCTGGTACTAATCATGAAAAAACATTGGTAATAATAGAGGCAAAATAGATGTGCTTAAACATTTAAACAAATACTAATGGGTGATACAATTCACATACAATTGCAAAAATAAGTTATACTCTTTCAGTTTATTGCTTTTCAATTATACTGTCCTCTTTTTAAAATATTTGTTACTGTTACAATATTGCATTTTAGCTTGCTTATACAATTGTTATAATGCAAAAGGAAGAATCAAAGCATAGAATATGGATTTTAAAAGTAGGGAAATATAGGGTCTTCCAGATATTGGATTGCTGTTCTATCATCCCAGCTATTGGTTATGATGGCTAAGGCTATAATCAGCTAATGTTGGAGTTCAACATTACCTGGGCATACTTTGTTCCTTTTCTAAATGTCATTTTACAAATTTAATTTTCCTACTCAAAAGCACCAATGGCTATTTCACTTTTTTATTCCTAATTGGCTTTACTTACTTAGACACTAGAGTCTAGCATGGTTCTAAGTATCCATGAATAGTATATTTTAGAATTGGGTTCACAGCAGTGAAGCAATTGGAATATTGAAGAGAGAGAGTTTATCTTCAGTTATTCTTTTCTTTCTAACAATTGGAATAGGTATTATTTGGCTAAGGATTTGCAATGCTGGAGGAAAGAGGTTTCCTCAGGGGTGATTGTATTAGGTATATTTTGCTGTGGATGGCACCCATAGGAAAATCTGTTCTGCTATTTTCAACGTATTAGTTCATCCTGGCTGAATAATTCTGGCTCCAAGCTGACATACACATTCAAAATGATCCCTCTAAGTATTTCTCAGTCTGACAAATGGTAGACAATACAGAAGCATCCATCTTTGCAATCATTATTTACAGCAAAAAGATTTGCAATGCAGAATTAATAAGAGTTACTTGTATAGAATTATATTTTCAGTTTGGAATATAAAGTCACAATCTCCTCCTAGTTATTTTCTGTGATCTATTTAAATTCAGCTTAATTGTAAATAGTATTTGGCTGTAAAGGCTGTTGATTACCCTCTTTCTTCCACTCCAGCCACTATTTCAACTGCTGAGATGTTGTTGTATTCCAAAGAGAGTTGATAGGCATGGAAATTAGAGGGGGCTGAAGGGAAGTACTGAAACTTGAATGTTATGTATTTGGGGACAAAAGGGTGGGTGGGCAGTCAATGAAAGCAACAGGAAGGAGGTCCAGAATAAAAACCAGAAACTTTAGTAGACGATTAATCAGAGAAAAATACTTAAGAAAATAAGCTTACTGAAGGAGTAGTGGATGATGTCTTTGTTTTTGAGGCAACGTAATTGCCATGATAACATACAATATCCTGTAAGAAACTATAAGAAAAGTAAGGGATAGCAGATGTGAAAGAGCACTATAGTGCTAAGAAATACTACATTTCACATGGTTTTTTTTATCCTTGCCAGTATTCAAGGGTTAGCTGGATCTGCATTATCTCCAGAATCCACTAAGTCCCAAAATACTGCTGCTACTGGTTCTTTTCACAAATGGTTCAGTGGCATTCTTAAATGTGCCCTTTTGTAGCAAATTTAAAGATGGATGTTGAAAATGCTAAGAGAAAAAAAAGGATATGTTTAGAAACCATTCTCACGTATACAAACAGCCCTTTTAAGCAGCTCATAAAAGGAAGATAACTTTATGTAACCCATTATCAGGTGTTTGCAACTTGGGTGCAGCCCCTCTACCTATCCAGACAGTAAATAGAAGCTAGGTACTGTAAGTAGTTAATGCTAGACTCTCTAGGGAAAAATATCCATAAAAGTCAGTAGAATACAGACACATAGGTTTATTCTTTCAATCCTCTTTCAAGAGAAGTATTTCCAGTAATGTTTCATAACTTCCATCTGTAATGATTTTGAACATTTCTGTTTAACAACTATTTAGTATATAACATTGTATGAATATTGCTAAGATTTCTTCAAGTTGCTAAAAATTATAATAGAGCAAAGCATCTTTGTGAATATTATTTCAATAAATTAAGAATAAGTAATCTTGAAGGAACTGTGTCTACCTTGACTTAACTCTATTTATACTCTTAGTTATAGTTTGATTTGGATGATGTTTATATTGCATAAAAACTGTTTTATAGTCGGGATTAAAAAAGGAGATAACATTTTGATCTATGGAAACTGTTAGATGAGAAAATCTTCATTACACCTTACCCTTTGTATGTTTAATTGTCAATCACTGAATTATTTAATAAATGTAATTTAAATTCAATTTTTAATCTCTGAATGTAACAGACTATGATTGAATTTGTGCTATTTTCAAGTTTGGAAATTCATTTATATTTGTTACCTTAGTATTTTTAAATGTTTATTCTTAATTGGCTGTGCAGTACATTGCATGTAATGTGTGGATTATAGTTACTGATAGAACTTGTGCATAATTGGCCCAGTCCTTTGCAAGCTAGTTGTGTGTGTGTGTATCCTTAAGAGCTGGTAATATAAAAGAAATTGCCACAGATTTCTCTGTGCCTAAAAGAGTGAGATTCAGCAGTTACCAAATCTATTGTGTCAGGATAGCAGGCAGTTCTTAGTTTTATCTAGTGTATGTTATTCTCTTATTGAAAATTATACAAAATAAAGCTCCAGAACGAAAGTATATGTTAAGAACTGTTACATATGACTGGAGATGATAATTTGAGGAGCTGGTGGATACAGTTGGAATTTGTGAACATATCAGGGGAACTCTCACAAAATGGCTGTTGGGGGAGCCTTTTCTATTCACAAAATGGCTGTCATAATGTACCTAGCTGGCTACAGAACACCCATTATAGGTAAATGGGTCAAAGACAAATTGGTCAGCTAGCTTTTCCTACTAATCTCCCCCTTCCCCGGATACTTCCTACTGTCTCAGGTTTTTGTTCCTTTTCTCTGGGCAAATGGACACATTTCCATACAAATACATGGATGCAACCACTCTTTATGTTTCTGTTCTACAAGTGCCTAGGAATCTTCTGTGGAGCCCAGAATTGTCCTTTTAAACAGATATTTATAAGAAGCTTTGTCAGCTTTCAATTTCATTTTCATGCAGTGTTAACCCAAGCCAGATTTAAAATAGCTTTCCCCAAGGTTTATTGTTTATATAACCAATGTACGAAGGCAGAATTTAGAATGGGAT